CGTCTTTCTCTCCCGTTGTCACCTTGCCTGTGTGGCCGGGATGCTGCAGAGATCCCCCCGCCTCGCCCCGCCGACCACCTCTCCTCCCAAAATCGGGGAAGTCACCAGGCGGCGATGCCAAGCGCGCTGCCGGTCTGAAAGCCACAGCTAGCAGGTAGCTGCGGCACTCTGGGAGTCTCACCTTCCATTTCTCTTCAACCTCACTTCTTATTCCCACTCTAACAGGTAACACGGTGATGATGCGAAGCCCTGAAGCTCTTAAAAGGGAGGGGAGAAACCCAGAATCTGGATGTCGCACGCTTAAATATATATACATATATACACACACACGTATATACACACATATGTGTGTGTGTATAATAAATATATAAAACCAAAATTTTTAAGATAACCTTGATTCTGGAGTGAGGGGTTTACAATTTTTAAACACCTTGCATTAGCAGTATCCTGGTTTAAAAAGTGTCTTAAACATATCCTTTAAAAAGTAGCTAATGCAGATACATCAAAGGGTAGAAATGTGCAGTTTCTCAGTAATTTGAGGTCCATTCTCTTTTTTGCAGTGAGAGCATTAGCTACAGCCTTAACCCATATTAAAGCCTCTCTTGCTATTCCCATTCCCAACTTTTCTTTTGAGTGATGTACTTTTGATACTTCTACTTACTGGATTTAAATTCTCAAGACACAGTCGCTGCTTGGAAATTGGTTTGTTTTTCTTTTTGGTTTGAACGGTCAGCTCAGCTGTTTGTGAGCCCAGCAAGAATGGAAAACAAAATTCCTTCTTCATTCAAAAGAAAAACAACTCTCGTGACCTGTTTTGGAAATGCCAGCGCATTGACATGGCTCTGGTGAGAGTGCTAAAGCCTGGGGTGGGAAGAACCTCACTGAGTTTTGGAGCATTCCTGGGAAAGCTGGGCTTTAATCAGGCCAAGCATGGCCCTTTCTCGCACACATGAGGGTTTCTGGAGCAGTGTGCTGTTTTTCCATCATGGCATGCTGTTCCCAGTCAGGGAGGCCGTGCTCATTATATGGGGAGCTTGGCAAGCTGCGTTCTGCAGTGAATTGAAAGGATGCAGCAGAGAAATAATTTAGGGCGAACGGAGAACATGGACATTATTTGGATGAATATACATACTCTCAGGCAGAGGGCAAAGACAAGCCCTCATGGCACACTTACGTCTTTATCTACTGTTTAAATGCAGCCCTGTCATGCTTCAGGCATTGAATGCCCGTCACGTTGCTGGCTGCTGCCCCGCACTTCTGGCAGCCAGGGCTGTCCCCGTGCTGCAGGACAGCACAGCCATCCCTCCCTGCCTCGGGACCCTGCATGCCGCATGGGAGCAGCCTCCTGTCAACTCTGATGAATGAAATCCTGCAGCGGGAGGGAGGCCACAGTGGCACAAGACACCAGCAGTTATGCCTCTGCGTTGCTTCACCCAGCAAGAAGCTACGGTCCCTGCCACAGCTCGGCACGAGGCTATGCACCCCGGGTACAGCCCTGCCACAACCCCGGCCAGCTGCCCTGGGGGAAGGAGGCATCTGAGCACTTTCATTCTGCGTGTGCAGATTGCCTTGCTTGGTTTGCAGGACTGTAGCGCTGCAAGAGCAACCCCTGAGGAGCTCTGAATGCCTGCAGGCGTTGAAGGCAAGGCAGCTGGTGCTGTGTGATCAGTGCTTAGCAAGGCCCCTGGGGCATAAACCTCCAGCACTCAGACACTTGTTGCTGCCCGCACTGCACAGGCAGCACCATCAGTCCTCACTGTGGTGGGCTGCAAGATGCCATTGTCCTATACCAAGGGCATGATGCCCTCCCTAGGCTGCCCTGCAGTCCCAGGAACAGGGCAGGAGGAGGAAGGAGCTTGCGGAAAGGAGTTCTTTTTGAAAGGCTGAAGTCTTCTCTGACAGAAGCCATGAGGCAGTGTATGGGCAGCAGAAGCCCAGGACAGAGCTCAAGGAAAAGGAGGAAAAAGGTGCAACCTGGGGACCTTAAAAGTAATGAGGATCCTGTCAAAGAGGCCTCTGGTTTATGGTGCTATAACTCAATAAATATTTTTTTCTTGTTTCCTAAGGAAAAATATTCATGCCATTTTGGGGGCAACGGGCACATACCCATCAGTCACTCTAACACCTTTGACTGATTTCAGTTGAGTTTAGACACAAAGAGCAGAGATCCCAAGGGTATCAACTTTGGGGAACAAATCAGTGAGACAGAGAGACCATGCCTACACCCTCCCTGGGAGGAGGCTGCAGCTTGAGCCCAAATGCTCTTGGACTTCAGAGGACCTGCACCAGCGCTGCTCCCTGAGACCTGGCTTCCTTGGCTCCATCACACAGGCAGTGCCTTGCTCTGTCTTTGCTGACTAAAGCAAACAACTGATGTTCCCACTCACCCCTCGCCAACAGTGTTTCTCTGCCACCCACATTCCTGTTTTGCTTCCCCTGCAGTATTTCCCTCTCTCCTGCTCCAGGACTCCTATGACCTCCTTCACCCTCCTCCCCTGCTCCATCTCCCTTTCTACATACAGACTGAATTCCCTGCATTCTCCTTGGGGCCTATCACCTAATCCCTCCACATGCCTGTCACAGACCCCGCACCTTTCAGGGCAGGAGCTGCCTTGGGAAGGTGTTTGCACCACATCCAGACCCACTTTCCTGTCAGGGCAGGATAGGGCTCATGGGTGGCAGAGGGGAGGTGCTATGAACACACCTGGAAGAATCCAACGACCACCACCTCCGCACTGCTGATGAAGGCTTCGGCGTCCGTGATGTTGTTCAACAGGATAGGTTTCTCTGCAGTGCTGGCTGTGCCTGGAGAGGAGAGGTCAGGGTCGACAGAGGGTACACAAAGAGCAGCTCAAAGAGGGTCCCCCAACATGCATGCAAGCATCCCACCCCTGACATGCCCACCCACACACCTCTCCTGCAAGGTCAACATGCTTGCACAGCACACTCTGGGTAAGGAGACCCAGCATAAGGAGGACTCCCCAGAGTAGACCCATCTTTTTCCCTGAGCCAGGAGGAAAGCTCACTTACTGTGGGATGCAGAGCCACCGTCTCCAGCACACCCTGCCAGGGAGCCCCCAGTGAGCAGAATAACGAAGAGGCACGGGAAGACGGAGATGCCCATGGTGCCAGCTTGCCCTCTCCTCACCATGCCACCCTGCTCCGGTCCTCTCCTCAGCAAGAGACACGTCAGCTGCTGCAGGGGCCCGCAGTCACTACCGGGACAGTGGGAAGGGAGCAGCTGGCCCAGGGCGAAGCCTTCAGCTCCTGAGATAACCGCCTGGCCAGGAGAGAGCCCCTGCCTGCTGTGCAGGCACCAGCCTTGGAGAGCCTCACCAACACTGCCACCAGCATGTCCTCACCCACAGCGCTGGACATCTTGGTTACCCTGCACCTGTGTGGCCAGGCACCCCAGCTGGGTAAGAACATCCCTCCATGCAGAAGGAGCCACGGCACTTCTCCAAGTGCTGGGTCCCAGAGAGGCTGATGTTCCCTTGTGTTTGGCCAGCAGGGTGGCCACTGGGACGTGCAGCTCTTGAATTGGCTCTGGCTGTGGGGAACAGCTGCCATGGTAAGCATTAAACATGAGGTAGCCATGTTATAGCTCCCTGGGCTCATTCAGTTGCCACCTGGGATGAGACGTGGGGCTGTCTATCCCTGGAGTCTACCCCCATCACAGGCCAGACTTTGGGCTTCAAAGAGGGATTCATGAAACCCCTGAAGGAAGCAGGTCTGAAATAATTTGCCTATAGTTAGGCTGATGTTTTGAAGGAGGAGGGCTATTTCCCTTCTGAAACATGCTCTTAAGCCTTCCTATAATGCATTCTCCACATCCACCTCACTGAAAAACATAATCCAAAGCCATACTCTAGAAAAGAATGTGACACTCATGCAGAAAAGAAGAAAGAAAGTGGTTTTATTCTTGGGACACTGAAGTTTTGTTACAGCATCTAGCTGCATTCCCCCTGACTGGTTTTGCCTGCACAAGGATGGATTTTAACGGGGTAGGGCACCAGATACAGACCAGGAGACCATCATGGGAGGTAAGTGACCATTTACAATGAGTCAGAGCACATGGCAAGTGTAACTCAGGGATTTTCCAGGGACCAGTCCGCCCTGCCAGGTGATCTTGTTTCCTAGAAAAGGCACTTCCGGACCGGAGTTGATACAGGAGAAATGGAGGCAGCAGGAGGAAGTACTGGGAGAGAGGGAGGGAGATGCTTCCCAATTTAACCCATTATGTGTCATGATGGGGCAGTGGTGAGAACGGGTGGGTTATTTTCAGTGTATCAGAAGCAGCAGCAAAGGCCGCCTGCAGGCCTGTGCATCGACCGAGGCTGGCACAGAGCCCCAGCTCCCACGGGAAGGGCTGCCAGGGCTGTGGCCGGCCGCAGTGGCAGGAAGAAGCAGCGTGGTGGGCATGGCCCACCTGGAGACTGGTGCAGGATGCAAAGGGATGGGAAGGGGGAAGGCAAACTGGGTGAACTCATTCTGTCCATTCCTTCTTGATGGACAGGTTCCACTCCCAGGTGAGATGGTCATGCTTGTCGTCATCCGTGAAGAAGGACTTGTTGTGATAAGTGCCTCGAGCCAGCATACCCTTAGGAGCCTCCTCAATAGGCGTCAGGAACTCGTACTCCTCTGGTCGTGGCCCGTAGCTGCCAACCATGAATGTGGCTTTGTCCACTAGGAGAAAACAATCCACAAGGGATGAGCCCCTCAGGTGGGGAACGATAAAGGAGAGAAGAAGCCATGAGCATGGGGACAGATCACAGACAGAAAGGAGATAGTGGGGAGAGAAAGGGACAGTCCACGTCAGCAAGGGGAACAGAATCAGTGGAAAAAGTGGGTTGCTGAAGCACAAGGACAGCTGGAAGGATAAATAGATCGACAGGCAGATGGACAGGCAACTCAGTCTATACCCTCTTACATGTATGTGCTGCTGGAAGGGAGTGGGTACAGCCAGCGTATGGCTCAAGATCTCCCTTGATCACCTGCTACTTCTCTTTTCTGGTGAGAAGACACCACTTATGTGTGCTGAATGGGACACTGAAGCCTTAGAGGTGGTTGCATGCAAAAATGCACACGTGGGATGTGTGTGTGCAAAATGGGGCCTTCCTCTGCCTTGTCCAGGCAGGGCAGCACTGCACAAAGAGGAGAGGCCATGGGCAAACACCGGGCTCTGCACACAGTGGGAAGCTTTGTAGAGCAGCTCTGAATTTTACCAAGTGCATCTGGAAGAGCTTTCAGGGGGTGGGAAGCTCCACACAGGCTGAGCCACTCTACAGGGGGTGGGGAGGGGAGGTGAAGAGCTCTGTATGGAGAGGAAATCTGTGGCAAGCACTGTCTAAGCAGTGTCTCTGGGGACTTTGCTGCTGCAGACAGTGGTGTAGCATACAGATACCAGAGCTGGCTCGTAATGAGTTCACACAGGCACAGGAAACAGTTGGCCTGGGTGATGCAGAGTGCAGGTTAATGCACTCTGCTGAGAAGTCTCGCCTCCTGCGTGGCGGCACAGGGAGGGGCCTCAGGTCCAAGGCAGGCTCTGTCCCGGCCCAGAGCTGCAGGAACACTTCTTTGAACAGAGGGAACACGGGGGTAGAAGCACTGGTGTGCAGGGCACAAAGGGCTTTTACTCACCCTTCACCCCTGTCCGGTAGGTGTGCTGCACATATTTCAGTCCCGACACAATGTCCCTGTTTACCTGCAAGAAGTGACCAGAAGTAAGCGCCACAGGAAGGCTTTTGGTTCTGTATCTGCTAGTTTTCTCTCCTTAGAGACATACCCTTCTTGGCTCCCTACACCACTGCTCTCAAGGGCTCAGCACAGGACACATTGTAGAAAGTCCTAACATGACTTCTCCATAGGCACCTGGAGACCTACAGCATCCTCTGTGCATCTCCTACCCTTCCTCATCCTTTCGCTGACTTTGAGGCTAACTGGAGCCATCAGTCAGCTTCCCAAGACAGGCTGATGAGGACAAAGAAAAGTGAAGCACAGAGTTCCCAGTTAATAATTTCCCCATTGAAAACCAGACATGGGTGACTAGAGTCATCCCTCCAGCACAAATGGGTGGGCAAGATTAACTGAGCACTCCCAGCTGTACTCTAAGCTCAGTGGGGAGCTGGCAAGTGTCTCCTCAAGAGACAGAGGGACACAGTTTCGTTGATTATCTTTCCTCAAATCTCCCATGGATAGCTTGGATGTATCCCTTGCTGTCCCCCTCCAGCATACACTGCCTTCCCGTGGCACTACTCAATCTGGAAACAAGACGGGCAGATCCTTCCACATCTCCAGGGAGAATTCACATGGTGCCAGCTCTTACCAGCCTTGGGACTGAGGGAGGGAGTTAGACTAACTTGTCTGGCTCCAGGCGTCTCCTGTCAACAGGGCTCTCATACAGATGGAAATATTTCATAGCACAAAGGAGAGCTGGAGGTGTCTCTGGGGACAGTCATTTCTGAGACAGCAAGCAAGCCTCAGAGAAGGGAAATCTTTCCTACAGAACCCACAACATTAACACTTTCCCTCCTTCGTTTCAGGAAAACTATCCTCCTTCCCTTTTTGCCTTCTCTGCCAAAGCCAGCTTTGTCTACAGCAAATGTGTGGAGATGATCACTTCAGTGCTGGATGCCACACTGTAGTGTGGTTGAGTTTCATTTTCAGCTGGAAACAGAAGAAATGGCTGACATACTGGTTAATGGGAGAGGGGGGAGAAATGAGCCCATTTGGGTATATCATGACCCAGAAGAACTCAGGTATCTTCAGCCCAATTCTACAGCATTAGATCTTTTTTATGCATACATGAAGCCCAGCAATGCAGACTGAACCAGTACTTTATGGAAAGCCATTATCTCTTCTCCTCCCTCTCCATTCCCACTTTGTGTGAATTAAAGATTTTCTGGCGGCTGAAAAGCCAAGCCAAACTCAGCCCAAACTACCCATCTGGCTTCCAAATCACCTGTTGTTCACCATTGTGGGTGGACAGAAAGCAACTTCTTCCAAGGGGCGAGCAAGCAGAAGCAATTCCCTGGAAAGATCCGGTCCCTTGTTGGGTAGAACGACACCTGAAGCTAGGGGAGCTTTACAAGGGCCCAGCTTTCGGGCAGGCATGCTGCCTGGCTCTAGTTATCTGGTAGACTGCTGGTGACTGGCCTCAGCAACTGATGAGAAGCAACAGGAAGGAAAACAACTCACTCTGAAGTGGATCTTAACTCTGTATTCCACTCCTTCCTTTAATACGAAGGTCTCTTTCTTGAGTGCTTCAAGGTCACCTGTAAAGAGAGGATCAAGCCATTAGCCAGAGGTGTCACAGCAAGAAGAGACCACACGCGGTGGGATGGGGCTGGGATTCGTGTCGGAGGTGAGCATCCCTTCAAAAGGCGGCACACCTGCAAAATGAGTATACGGAGGTCTATATAAGCAATTGCACTGTGAGAGCACGTACACAGAAACGCCTGGGCATACGTATGTGTCTGCATCCACATCTATGAAGATAATGACTACACAAACACAGGTCTGGGCACATATACACAAAGATATTTATATGCAGGCTCATTGTTGGGCATCTGCAGGAGCATGCGCACGCTTCATCCATGCCCAGCCCCAGGGTGGGGTGAGCGGACCATGTTTCACAGCTCCTGCCCAGCTTGCGAGGCTGCCTGGGCTCTGCAGGGCTCTGCATGGTTTCGGTTGAACAGGAAGCCTCTCTGCTCCTCCGGGCCCAGCTTCCTCTCTCTGCAGAAAAGCCCATATAAGGTGAAGCCTGGTTCTCTCCCCATGTGCCCAGGAGCCGGAACTGCAGTATTGCTTGATTCTGAAGTTTCAAAAAAGCTCGTTACCCAAATGCATGCACATCCCTTGTGCTCGTGAGGTTTCATTGGAAGGAAATAAGAAGAGAAGGCAGGAGAAACCCAGGAGCTCCTAGACCCTTGACACTCTCCCCAATTACATCTCCTTTTCTTTTTCATATGTGTATACCTTAAAATAAGAAACAAGGCTAAGATGCCCTCAGAGTTCCTCTAAAACCCACTGCAGTATCCCAAGGACAAACTCCCTTACAATTTGAAGCATGCCAGGGCCTTTGCTTGTTCCCCTTCGTGCCCAAGGACAGAGTCTGTGCCTACCTGTAAGGTCCATAGTGATCGGTCC